CTGGCGGCTTTTTATCGATCAGAAGGGTGAAGAGAAGCACGTTGCGTGCTTGCGGCGGGGCGTAAATAAGGTAGCTACTGTAGGCAGAAGAAAACAAATCACTTACCCAAAACACCCGGATCGAAGTCGCAGCAAGTAAAATCGAGCCCACGAGGAACTAGAAACTCACAAATGGAGGTGGGGTAAGTAGGAAACAAAGTCAGCTACGCACCTGTCGCCCGCTCGCAATAAATAGTGTATAAAACATTCCGCGGGTCGCCGCATCCGAGCAGCAAGATGGAAGCGGAGGTACGAGGCTCGATATCGCGGGTTAAGCATATTGCGGATGTATTCCCAATGGGATAGAAAAAATACTTGGAGGGCCAGTGAAGGGGGTGGGCCATGATGGGGTAGGAGATAGCAGGCGTAGGATGGTGCGTCAAGGATGGGCCATTAATACCACCAGTCGGCTTATATGGGACTGGCGCCCTCGAACAGTTCTGGGGAGGCTTACAGATCATTTGTCTCGTGATGTAGAGTTTCGGACGGCGCTTGGTTTAGATGACAGGAAGCCTGTCCTTGCCACGCGTCCCATGGCAGTCTCTACGTAAGAATAGAGATATAATGATAAAGAACAGGGCTGCAAAGAAATACTGTATTCCGCCATATGTCTTAAGCGTCATACCGCTCTCGAGCCTGTTGCAGTCAGCAACCGTGAAGACTTTCTGGTGGGAGGAGTATACGCACTGCATCCTTTGCCATGCTGACGTAGCCAGCGTAGCCATCTTGGTACTTCCCAACCTCTTTGCCTTTGCTCGCACCTAGTCCTGCACCAGACGCGTACAATGCTGTCTGGCTAAAGCAAAAGTCAGCCTTAAGCGGACATGGATTGGACGATTCGCTCACATAGGGTCCACACGCCCTTCACCCTCGATACCGAGACCCGTGCCTTCTTTCCATCCCATCATCTTCAGTAGCTTGTTGCCAACATTATTGGGATCCTCCCCAGGCTTAACCGGCGGAGGCGGAGGCGAGGGAGGCGGGGGCGGTCCTTCTATGAAGCGACGCTGCTTGCGTTTGTCTTCCATGCCTTCGGGCAAAGGCACATCAGGCTGATTGTGCATGATACGCCGTTCGGACGCCCGGTCGCGATACTTAGCCTGTTGAGCATCAGAGGATACCTCGGATGCGACGGCGTTCTCCTTCACTGCCTGCGCTTTCTTGCGGGCAATGTCGCGGAGGGTTGCGTCCTTGTAGTTCTTCTGCAGATATCGTAGCGTTCAAGCCAACGGATAAACGCGAGTGCAAGTTAACCAACCTTGTGGAGATCAGACTCCTTGTTATGCCGACTGAGCTGCTCGAGAGTCTTGAACTGGCGCGCACAAAGAAGGCACGTCAACTTGACGACGTCCGAGAACTCAAATTCGGTTTCGGGTGGCGGACTTGGATCGGTTGATGCAGGCTGTGCAACTTTCTTTGGAGCCACCACTTGGACATTGGTCGTCTGAACGACGTGTCATATGCAAGATTGACTAGGATCACGAGCTTATACGCACGTTCGACGAGGGTGGGAGAGGAGCGGGGCCAGCAGAAGCAGAAGTGATAACCTCCTGCGCTTGATTCCATTTAGAGATATTGTTCGCAGTCTTTCGTGCACTGAGTAGGTTCAACGGAAAGATGAAATTTCAGACGTACCTTCTTACTCGCAATCATTGGGGCCACCCTTTTAGCCGCAGCAACTGCAGGGCAGCCATCAATACGTTTGTCCAAAGGATATACTGCTCCTCGTATCGCAGAGCATGGAACAAACCCTTGGCATCTTCGAGAACAGCTTTCTCCTCATCGACCCCTCCGTCATCTCCAACTTCATCGTTCAGTGCAAACACGCCGACACCTGCTTTAGCTGAGTGTCTGTCAAAACGTGTTCCAACCACGCGAATGGGCGACGCACCGGGAGCCGCAGGACCCTTCTTCACAAACGACGTTCTAATGTTTAGGGTGACTGGCTTGTCTAATACAGGAAGGGTAGATGCCTCGGGCGCCAGTGGCGTTAAATCGGCATCAGTTACTGCAGTCCCATGTCAGCGAGCGGGAAATCAATGACAAAAAAACTGTACCTTTTAGCTTTTTCTTTTTCTCTTTGATAGGTGCTGCCGCCGGAACCGGCTCTTCGACTTTGAATTCGAGAATGGCAGCCGTGGTCCCCTCGTCCCAGTATCGAACCCATACCCCTTCGACACCGCCCAGGGCCATGGACGATTGCATGCAGGCTTCGTCACGCATCATCTGGTTCTCGATCGGCTGGAAAGAATATGGATGGGCGAAGGATGCCGCGACAGGCTTGTCAGATATCCGGAACCCGTTCGGATGGATTTGTGGCGACATCGTGGCCGCAAGTACGGCGGAAGCGGACTTTATAGGAAGGTAAGATGAAGCATCAAGCATCGTCAAAGGGTGGGAGAGAAGGGACGGTACCTGTGTGTCAATAAACTCAACAAAAGCAAAACCCCAGCTGGCAAGGGTCGTCTTATCCTTGATGAGGATAATCCTCTTCATGCCTTTTGCGCCTTCCTTGTGAAGCCCGGAAGACGTCTTCATCGCCTGCAGGATAGCCTGCGGTCCAGACAGAGGATCTAAGCCGCGGAAGAGCAGTACGGCGGCCGGCGAGTTGCCTATATCGCGTGTTCCATCGTTCCCTTGACCCGGTCGTTTTTTGTCGTTCGGATTCGCGCTCTGGGAGTAGTCGATCTTGACCCGGCGGCCGGTGTGGGGTGCGCCGGTCTCGAGCGCCTTCCAGAACTGCGCGGACGCGGACGCACCGTGCGATGCGGGCGGCGGGACCTGGATGAAGGGAAAGGACGGGTCCACGAATTGGCGCGCGCTTTCGAGCGTGGAAAATTGGGCAAAGCCGAAGCCCTTGGAGAGGCCTGGATGCGCGGCAGAATACCGAAGAACAAGAGTCAATGCGGCGGTCCACGCGCAAATGCAAGTGATGGGCAAGTGCCTGTGCTTCTTTCTCGGATAATCGTGACCGATTCAATTGCACAACCGTGCTGAGTAAGATATGCGTGCAGCTATTGCGTGAGGGTTCAGCGACGGTGTCCGAAAAGAAACATAGGACTTACGTCCGCTTCTGTGAAGTCGGTGTCGAGACCCAGGAAGATGACATGACAACTCGGCTCGCTGGGAATCATGCGTTTCTTATTGACGTAGTAGGGCGCGGCAGCAGCACTAGGCCCTCCACCATAGGTGGCGCTGGTGGCCTGAGCCTGAGCCTGCGCTTGCTGTCCATAGTAACTCGCATTATACGTATTATTGTCCCAGCCTTGAGTTGAGTCGTATCCCTACAAAGACGTTGAGTACGCAGAGAGAATCCAAGGGGAAGACCACGCACGCCGTCGTCGAACTTGCGGCGCTTGAGGTCGCCACCAGATCCGTAGTCCTCCTCTCGGCCTCGTCTCCCCCCACCATCGGGTCCGGGATACCACGCGCCCGACGTGCCATCTGTATCGTTCTGCCAATGGTCTTTCCCCCTGTCCCATTCCCTGTTGTGGGCCATGTTAAGGACGCTGGAACGCTGTGAGTTGGTGCAGAAGATCGTGGTCGGAAGTCAAGGCGCGCCGAGTCGAAGCGCGGCTTGGTTGAATGTGTCGTGTCAAGACTGACTTGACTCTGGACCACGATGGCTGGCGGCAGTGCGCTCTCCTCATTCTTCATTCATTCCTCCTACTAATAGTTCGTGGCAGGCATTAGAGTCGTAAGTTCGCAACTTGTAGGAGCGTGAATAAATGTTAAACGTGATTCAGCCTGACCCCGCCATTTCGCGATGGACGTACGCGGTGCGACGGTCTCCGCCCGAACTTATGCCTTATTTACTCATTCTCACCCTTAGCGCGAGAATGTTTACAGACACTTTCGATGGACTCGCCACACGGCCAGTATTGCTTTTTGGCTGGTCGGCGTAGTCCCAGCCGGCTTGTTCTGGCTCGCGGTCAATACCGACGTGCGTCACAGCCACTTCTCTGGATACCCGGCTTTCTCACACGCGTTTTATAGAACAAGTACAAGGTCATAGGGACAAGGAAGGACCAGTCTTTACTTCGAGGGGCGCCAGTTCAAAGCGCTGCCGAGATTACTGACGAGTAGAGTCCCCGTCTTGTACTATATCCTCTTGCACAGCTCAATCGCTACCATGCACCCTGCGCCAATAACGGAACTAAGCAGCGCATGAGCGGGTGCCTTTTGGGAGTCGTTGATCACTGCAATACTGAGATGCTCGAGCTCGTCATCCCGGAACTCCCGGATGACGTCCTTCAGCAATGGCATGCTTGGATGAGACGGCGCCATATCTTCCATCTCCTTTAGTTGGCTAAGGGGCGTGAGGGACCGTAGAGGATACATAGCAATACCATGACACGTACTCGTCGTAATGTTCGCCGATGACCGTCTCGACCGCTTCGGTGCAGGCCATCGCCGCCTCCCGGCCCATGAGCCCAGTTAGCGCACCCAGTCCAAAGCCCGCAACTTTAGCCGCATCCCAAAGCACGGTGGGCCGTACCCTGTGCTGCACCTGTAATTTGTTCATGACATCCAGATGTTTCTTTTCCTGGTCCCACATCTCCTGCACTAAATTGAGTAAAGCCCACCGAACGTGCAAAGTTCGCGCACTTGAATCAATGCTCCCGTTGCACGCTCCCGCCCAAGGACAGCGAATTGACCCTTATAAATGTAGTTTGCAGCAACCTCACCAGCTTGATCGATGCGGAGTGCCGCGTCCAGCGCACGTCTCTGCTCAACCGTAAGGCCATCCGGAGTAGAACTCACTGCGGGGTCACTCGGTGATATGGGGTGAGTGTACGCTGCTGAAGCCAGGGGAGCGGCAGAGTGTATTGTTCGTCGGAAAGCTGACGCTGAGCGAAGCAAAAGTACGGCCAACATGGGGAGCGAAAGTAGACCTTCACGAATTTACCTAGTGTCGTCAGTGTTGTCGCACCGAAAAAATCCAGCAAAACGAAAACTTATGGTGGCGGCGAGGTTCGAACTCGCGCGAACTTTCGTTCATCGGGAGTCAAGCAACAAATAACTTAAATCCGACGCCTTAGACCACTCGGCCACGCCACCAGCACACTTTTCCGAGGCTTTTACATTTGCATCTGCTTACGTCGGTAAGACGTGCCTGTTGCTCAATGGCACCTTGACTTCTTCGGAGTTCGGTAACTGCACCAAATTTACTGTTCGGGCCTACAACAAGTTCTTGACAGGGGTTCATGGCGTGAGCGTATTTTCGGGGACAAACAGTAAGCCATATACAACGATGTCTGAAGTACGGCTCTCATCCCCTAATATGTAGCTCTTGACCTCGCAAGTAAGCGGACCGTTTGCCGAACCGTGGAGAGCGCCGGTGCTCTATGGAGAAGTAGCTGGAGCGGCTTCTTATCACTAAGACCCCTAGGTCACATACCCATCATGCACAGGTATTGGCGTAGACCTGGGGCTTCTGACGAATAATGAGACGCAAGTTACGGATGCCTACAGTCATGCCCATGCTGAAATCGCAATTGGTGCGTGCTATATATCACTACAATCCCGTTGACCCGCTAACAAAGCTGCAGATATATAATGGAAAGCGTGTAAAGTTTAGTGTCCCGGCGCAGAATACTACAGCTAATCAACGACACGTAGCTATGGTGCGGGATACTTGACCGACGTCGCCAATCTGGAGATAGTGGCCGCGGACACCCAGTACCAAGCCGATGAAGCGTCGCGAAGCGCTGTCCTTAAACTTTTGGAAGGTAACCTGTGGACCATTTTCCGCAACGCCAAGACCGACATCCTCCATTGGGATTACGTATGCTTTTTCCTGATCTCTTCGCATTTTGAGAACTTATCACCTCTCTATAGAGCGTGTTGGGGCGGTTTATTACGCTACTTACCGTAGATTCTGCGTACGCTGGTTTAGGTTACCTGGCTTACAAGTCGCTGACGTCCAATGTTGTCAGGGCTGCCACTTCAGGCCTACAGCTTAACCTTACGGAAATCGAAGTCATCGGCAAGTTGTGGAATTCCTCTGAAGCCGTTGATTTCTCCAAGAGCTTGTTAAAACCAACGAAGGATGCGAACTCCGGAAAAATCAAAGGCAATCACATGTTTTACACCAACGATTATATGGTACGGTAACTTCATCACCCCATCTAGTACTCTATCCTGTGTCAACGGCTTATATGCGTCTGCAGGTTCGGCGCGGCAAGGGCTACGTGTCCACACTGAAGATGTACTCCACACGGACCCGGAACACGGAGTGCTCAAATTTTCAGGGGGTGAGCTTCAAAGCGCACCATTCATTTCACTCTGACAGCCGCTAGCAGGGGTCAGGTTTCCACTTATCGGACGGCACACTATATACCCTTGTGACAGGTGTCGAGTATGAAAGCGTATTCGCCGCTTGGGACTGGAACCTTATCCCAGGCGAGTAATCCTGCATGTCGATATACGATAGGCAATGCCTTATGACTGACACTGTTAGGTACAACCATTGCTTACAACATCACTACACTCAGTTGTGATACTACCAAGCTTTTCTCAAGCGAAGCGTTCATTGGCGGCTCGTCAAACGGCGAGCTTGGTGTTGCGGCCATGCGCTACCTGACTCCACAGAATAAAACGCTAGGTTGGCAGAAGACATGGTTCTTCCTCCCCGACGACGTGCAGCATGTTATGATCGCTGGCGTCATTCTGGATACTACTATCAGTTGCGCATCCGTACTCTCCGTTCTTGATCAGCGACACCGCGCCGGTCATATTCTTGTCGAGGGCAAGTCAGTGAAATCGGGCAACTTCTCGAGCGTCAGCACCCTTTTTCACGGCGGCATTGGCTACACCTTCAACAGGTCGAACACTGCAGTCTCTTTGTCCATTGATTCTGGCCAGCGCACCGGCAATTGGACGGGGATCTCGGGTGGCGTGTGGAGAGAATCCAACACCGTAGACCTCTTCGCGGCCTGGCTGGAACATACCGACCTCGATGTTTACGTTGAGTATACGGTCTATCCGGCCTTGACGCCGGATTTGTTCCGTCGGAAAGCGGCCAAGTCTGACCTGCTCACAATCCATAACGATGAATCTGTCAGCGCTATTCTCGCCCAGAAGAACCATGTTGCCATGTTCGTTTTCTGGGATTCAGAAGGCGGAAATGCCTCCGTCCCTTCTTACGATGGATAAGCTCCCATCACCGTCGCGTCGTCCGATAACTCAGCCCTCATCATCGACCTTCGCAACTTCAACCTGACCGTATCTGGTCCATCGCAGACGCTGGAGAATGTGTCATTATGCTTCACCCTGGGCCCGGGGGAAACGCCGAAGGGGTGGCGAGGTAACAGCACTAGCTTGGGCATAACTATCGAGCTCCCATCCGGTGGACTTGAGGGTAGTAGTGTGTCAACCATGCTCTTCTGAATTATTGTTTATTGTTTATTTTTTGTTTTCAAATGCCGCGCCCAGCTCTGACTAGGCTGTTTTAATACTGGTTTTCTGTAGCTTTCCTTTCGAATAGCTTCAGTACAGCTTTGAATACAATATTCCTAACGTCGTGCAGCTCATGAGCGACGCATGGGGTGAAGGTGCACGGACGGACGACACGTTCTGTCAAGGGAGCTGGTATGGCTTGGCCCTCACGTCCAGCACGAGTCGTGCACCAGATATGGCGAGGTATGATTGTCTCGCAGAGGGTCAATCCAGGGAAAATGCAAGTGCCACTATAGCTTCCACGACGGAGTACACGTTTACGCCAGCTTGAGGCACCCGAGCCTCATCTACCGAGTAGATAGCCGCAGGCTCGCGGGCACCGTAACCTTGGCACCTTGCTGTTCTGGTAAACACAATCTCTTGGAGAGATGTACCAAGCTTAAGCATAGCGCGAGTGTGATGTGAGCCACAATAGTCACGGTCGAAGACGACATGGCATGTGTCACGGCTGTGGAGATAAGCGCCATGATGCTTTATCTTATCTTCACGTGTGACGTGGTTATAAGCGGAGCGTCGACTCGCGCTGACATGGACGCGTCGCGACGCGTCTCTGAGTCGGCGCATTTGAACTTGAACTACCCCCCTCGTGCGACTTACCTATACAGGCTCCTGATGGCAGCTATCCCATCTCTGTACGTGTATAGTTTCGTTCTCCGGGCCTGCTCTAAGCGATATTTAGCCCGATTCCCTCCGAACTCGCCCTTCGCTCTCCAAGCTCCGTCAGCAACCCGGCAAGTCTGGATGGAGTGCCCCTATCCTTCGTCGTCGATGCTCAGAATAAGTCCTACAAACATCAATACGCCAACATCTACTTCTTGAGGCTACGATTGCTGCGTGAATTTGTCGAAGCGGAAGCCCGCAGGAGGTGGGGGGGTCTGTCTGGTATGCTGCCTGTTCTACGCTGCTATGGTCAGCAATAATCCTGTGACCTTTGCTCTGAAGGATCCCCTAAGCCGGTTCCGAGGGTGCTTGATGTAACAAAGGGACAGCTGTGCTACATCATTGGGACGGTATACATGGAAATGCCCTTGAAGCCGAATATTTTGGAGGACCTAGGGCGAGATGTGCGTCCTTCGACCTTCAGCTGAATGGCTTCTGACCTTATACAAAGCGTTCTATACCCGCACTTCCGCCCCTCAATAAAATCTTTTCGCCCGATGACAGCACCATGCTGGAAGACGAGTCCGGCCGTATCCGCCTCGTAGGGGAACGTTTGAAGAACATAACACTAGTCACGGGTATCATTGCGGGAGTGCTAGGTATGGAAACAGCATCAGGAGACTTTGAGATTGCGGACGTGTGCTTCGCGGGCATGGCGCCTCAAAGCAAGGGTGAGGCTGATGGTGAATTCGGCCTTTGTCGAAGAGGTTTCATCTTGCTCACGCATATCTGCTTAGCTGAGTATGATGAAAAATGCGAAGAATACCTCGCAGTCGTGTCCGGCCTGGACATAGGCTCTTCAACACCGTCGGAAGCACAGACGCAGATGTTAGTCGAGTTCCTCTGTGGCGAGAATGGAGACCCGGACGAAGCGGACGTGGCAAGGCGGATTACTCGTCTCATCGTGGCCGGAAACTCTCTGGCGCCACTCACCGTCGAGGATGACGGGCCCAAGGAACGAAAAGCGGTCGGTTCAAGTAATCTTCCAGTGTGCTATCATTCTAACTTGCGGTACAGAAAAGAACGGGCCAGGATACGTCTTCATTCTCGTCACATCCGATATACGAGCTTTCGGCGTACTTCTCGGATATTGCAAGTTCCATGCCAGTGCATGTACTCTCAGGCGCAAGTGATCCGTCAGGGGTAATTATGCCCCAACAACCTCTCCCGCGAGCTATGTTCCGCGACGCGTCTTCCTTCTCCACATTTTCGTGTGAAACTAACCCAGCATACATATCCCTTACTCCTGGGATTACCGACGAATCTGCGCCGGGCGACGCTTCTACCTCATTCATCGGCGCCAACATGTCTGGGAAGCTCCGCACCATCCTAGCAACATCCGGACAACCCTTAAACGACATGTTCAAATACATCGCGACCACTAAGGCTTCACGGCTCGACATAGCCGAGGCCACACTACAATGGAGACACCTGGCTCCAACTGCTCCTGATACGCTCTGGTGCCACCCATTCTTCACCGCTGATCCGTTCGTATTGCGACAGACCCCAGATATCTACGTCCACGGATGCCAGCCGCATTTTGCAACGAAACTTGTCCAAGGTGATGGCAAGCGGTGCCGTATCATCCTCGTTCCATCTTTTGCGGAGACCGGTGTCCTTGTTCTCGTGGGGCTCCGATCATTGCATGTGCGGACGATTATCTTTGGAGTAGAGGGAATTCACAGCGTTCCGGCGGCTTGACAGCGTGGTGGACTCTTGCTGTGCGCAGTCCGGTTCCATATTTGGATAATTTTCTCACGTTCTCACACAGGTATTGTGTTTACAAGATTGATGTAATTGCATGCGTCTTGTCTGTGCCGGAGACGACTCGAATTCCTACCAGTCCAATTTTGTCTAAGCCCTAGATCAAGTTCTGTAACAACACACGGTCAGCTGGTAAGTAATTTCGCCATTTTGTCTTTGTGTTCCCACTTCTTTAT